ATATCATAAGTCGAATAACAAGACTATCATTCAAATCACTTCCTCACTCGATAAAGTGGTCTTGTGCTTTGCTATATATAACCAAGTCAAAATAATAAATACACTTTGCAAAATTTCTGTTTATGAACCTTTTTCTGCTTTTTGCAGTCAAAAATTTTATTCACAGCTCTTAGTGCTTAAAGAAAACATCAAGCTATCCATTCTTGAAAGAGTCTTTGTAAATAATCTTTCGGGGAAAAAGTTGATTTTTTTGTAATTGAAATTTCTTGAACTAAGCACAAGTCACAAGCCAAAAATATTTTTCAGCCCTCGCCCCCACTGTTCATAATTAATAGATAGTATTTAATAGATAGAAAAACATAAAATACAATAATTGTTACTTTTTGATACATTTTGAAGTTTCCATGAAAAATCGGAAACATAGCTTCCTGAAGTTCTTTGCATTCGACAATCTTTAGAGTATAAACGATTGACAATTACCAATGGTAGGCAGAAAGTTTACATCCAAGTATGGATCGACAGTGGCTCAAGAGAAAGAATAGGCCTTTTTAAAGCCGTGAATTGCCAAAGAGAGAAAGCGAACATTTGCTGTCGAAACAAGCTGGGATCCTATTGCTTTGTTTCCAAAACACCTAGATGAAAAGACGATGGCTTATTTTCCATCAGGATTTTAAGAACGAAATGAAGCAATTTAAAATTTTGTGCAAACTGTCAATATTATCTATTTGGGTGAAGAGTGTCAGACGAAAAGTACCTCAGCATGCTAGGTTTTCAATATTTCATGCCATCTCCAAACTTTGCGGTACAGAAAGTTCAAACACCTAACATGAAATCTTCGTGCAATTTTAATGTCCTCTATAGCTGATTGTAGCAGATATATTAAATTTCTCTTCCCATGCATTCGTCCTTGCCAGAAAGTGGAGAATAAATATAGATTTCTCAAGCCTTCTTTCAGAGTAAATCTAAAATGCAAAGTTCATGTTAGAATATACTTTTAATATTACAATGTGACAGAATTAATATCAAGCCTCTATTCATTTGTATTCAACCTAAAATTCAATTCAGGCTACACACGTTTTTAAGAATATCGTCTATAAGAAAATTGAGGCTGAATTTAAATCGCTG